TTCCCAATGCTGTCAACTATTTGTTGTTGATTGTGGGAAGTTTGTTTGTGTGAAATCTAAATGTGATTCCAGAATATGTTTTAACCATAATTGTCTCAACCCTCCGTTTTAATTGTTAATTAGAGCGAATTAAAGTGAGTGCTTTAAGAAACCTCTATCGGTGTGGCGTTTTTTGCAGTTCAGTATTATTTCGCCATTGTGATTCTGGCATTGATTATGTACATGGAACGAATGCATAGTGCACGAACAAATCTTCGGAAACTTTAACCACGTTTACGTTCGGAAGTGTCAACTTGCATGAAAATGTAATGGAGAAAAAATGGTTCGCAGTATGCATGCACGTGCAGTTCTGAGGGGTAGTGAGCAGGGACATTTCCTGTATAAAGCCGTTTTGCGTTAGAAGGTCATTGGCATTTGTTGTTGAATGAAAGAATAGCGTTATGCCGCAACTCACTGCTGTAAATCGAAACATTTCCATTGGATGTCTGGAAGCTGTAGAGTCTCAATCAGTCGTTCTCGCGTCACCTCATTGTTCACCAGAGTACCATCTATCGTTTATGGGACCGATATCAGTAAACCAATTCTACAATACATGATCGGCCTCGAAGTGGTAGACCTCGGATTACTACTACAGCACAGGATATGTACATCCGGGTACTTCATTTGCGGAATCGAACTGGTTTTGAGGAGAGTGTCTGCGCTGACCATTTGTAATCGTAAATCGAAGCCAGAAGACCCTATTTTGGCCCTTTGCTGAGACGAATAACGGTCGATTATTGTTTAAAGTTATTGTTTTCAGGAATAGCGGGCCCCTTAGACAGTATTAAAAGTGGTTTCTTAATGGGCAAAGGCTGGAAGTTGTCTCATACTACAGGGACTTGGGGTATTGTGTTCACTCCTAGGCTAGTTTGGACTAAAGCTCACACTACTCTTGCTTCTCAAGCCGATAAAGCCCTTTATGGCTATCGCTAGATATAAAAAAGGAGTAGGTTATCTGTCATGTGCCGATCTTTTAAAGTATTTGATGCTATGGTTAAACCTATTCTTTGTTACGGTTCAGAAATTTGGGGTTTTACCCATTGTAAAATCATTGAACAAATCCAGATAAAGACATGTAAATATTTCTTAAAAGTTGGTAAAATTACATGCAACAATATGGTTCTTGGTGAATGTGGCAGATTCCTTCTTCAACTTACATATATGTCAAGAGCAGTTAAATATTGGTGTAGACTTTTAACTCTTCCGAATTGTAGATTACCTCATCAGTTTTATTTAATGCTTAAGTCTTTGGGTGAATCTGCACGGACGACATGGGCATCTCATATCAAGAATATTTTATTTAGATTTGGGTTTGGCTTTGTTTGGATTTCACAGGATATTGGAGATATTGATGGTTTCATTTCTGTTTTTAAGCAAAGATTGTGTGATAATCTTTCACAAGATTGGTACTCATCCCCTACATAGTACAACCAAGGTTCTAATTATATACTTTTCAAGTCCCTCCTGAGTGTTGAAATTTATCTCAGTTTAGGTATTGCCCCATATTTAAGAAATTGTTTAACAAAATTTAGATGCGGTAAATTTAAACTTAGTTCTGAGACCGGTAGATATAACAATGTCCCTTATCATTCAAGATTCTGTCCTTTTGCTACAAGAATTTTCTTAATTTAATTGAAGATGAAATACATGTTTTACTTTATTGTAAAGCCTACTTTAGATATAAGGAATACGTTTCTGGGTAAATATTTGAAACATCCTATTTCACAACACAGTTTTATAAACATAATGACTTCAACAAACATAAATGTTATAAATAATTTGTGCCTATTTTTATATAATGTTGTAAAAAAGAGATTCTGATGTTTTTATGAAAACCAGGGATAATCTACAACGTTATATAGTAAATCGCATGTAACTTCTTATCATATTTATGAATGTATTTTGGGCCAGTGGCCTATTACTGAATAAAATGTCTGTCTATAACGGTCGATTCTGGAACAATACTAGTTAACACATACAGAGGTTATACCTAAAGGTGACACTCAAACCATGTAAATATATTGGTCTTAATAGCCAAACACATCTTCTGGAAATGATGAAATGCCTGTTGGAAACAGGGAGACAAATATACTGAAACCATGACTCTGTTAGTTATTCATACCATCATTCAAACTCTGAACACAACCGTCTGATTACATTTCTATAGCATTACTTTCACATCCAAACCATGTTCTTATTTAACTCCTGTACACGAAACACGTATTTAGCATAGGATACAATATGGCAAAATGTTTTTGAATGACTAACCCGGAATGCATTACCTACTCAGATTTGTATCTTACTTTGATCACATCGTTGAAGTCCGGCATCAGTGTTCGTCCATCCGAGTTGCAATGTCCACCCGGACACGCTCCAGTTGAACTGTCACATCCCAACGTCTCACACCCAGGTGAACAGTCCTGTGTAACAGTCAACACCATACATGCCGCTGCCACACCCTGTCATTGCAAACAAGAGAGAGAGAGAGGAAGAGGTAGTAATTTGCAATCGTCCTTTATATTGACAATGTCATTGAATTGCCAATGCTGTTTTTGATTAGATACATGAAATATCAGTCGCAACTAATTTCCGAGACTCAGTATGCTATTCCCAATGCTGTCAACTATTTGTTGTTGATTGTGGAAGTTTGTTTGTGTGAAATCTAAATGTGATTCCAGAATATGTTTTAACCATCATTGTCTCAACCCTCCGTTTTAATTGTTAATTAGAGCGAATTAAAGTGAGTGCTTTAAGAAACCTCTATCGGTGTGGCGTTTTTGCAGTTCAGTATTATTTCGCCATTGTGATTCTGGCATTGATTATGTACATGGAACGAATGCATAGTGCACGAACAAATCTTCGGAAACTTTAACCACGTTTACGTTCGGAAGTGTCAACTTGCATGAAAATGTAATGGAGAAAAATGGTTCGCAGTATGCACGTGCAGTTCTGAGGGGTAGTGAGCAGGGACATTTCCTGTATAAAGCCGTTTTGCGTTAGAAGGTCATTGACATTTGTTGTTGAATGAAAGAATAGCGTTATGCCGCAACTCACTGCTGTAAATCGAAACATTTCCATTGGATGTCTGGAAGCTGTAGAGTCTCAATCAGTCGTTTCGCGTCACCTCATTGTTCACCAGAATACCATCTATCGTTTATGGGACCGATATCAGTAAACCAATTCTACATGATCGGCCTCGAAGTGGTAGACCTCGGATTACTACTACAGCACAGGATATGTACATCCGGGTACTTCATTTGCGGAATCGAACTGGTTTGAGGAGAGTGTCTGCGCTGACCATTTGTAATCGTAAATCGAAGCCAGAAGACCCTATTTTGGCCCTTTGCTGAGACGAATAACGGTCGATTATTGTTTAAAGTTATTGTTTTCAGGAATAGCGGGCCCCTTAGACAGTATTAAAAGTGGTTTCTTAATGGGCAAAGGCTGGAAGTTGTCTCATACTACAGGGACTTGGGTATTGTGTTCTCTCCTAGGCTAGTTTGGACTAAAGCTCATACTACTCTTGCTTCTCAAGCCAATAAAGCTCTTATGGCTATCGTTAGATGTAAAAAGAGTAGGTTATCTGTCATGTGCCGATCTTTTAAATTATGTGATGCTACGGTTAAACCTATTCTTTGTTACGGTTCAGAAATTTGGGGTGTTACCCATTGTAAAATCATTGAACAAATCCAGATAAAGACATGTAAATATTTCTTAAAAGTTGGTAAATTTACATGCAACAATATGGTTCCTGGTGAATGTGGCAGATTCCCTCTTCAACTTTACATATATGTCAAGGGCAGTTAAATATTGGTGTAGACTTTTAACTCTTCCAAATTGTAGATTACCTCATCAGTTTTATTTAATGCTTAAGTCTTTGGGTGAATCTGGACGGACGACATGGGCATCTCATATCAAGAATATTTTATTTAGATTTGGGTTTGACTTTGTTTGGATTTCACAGGATATTGGAGATATTGATGGTTTCATTTCTGTTTTTTAAGCAAAGATTGTGTGATAATCTTTCACAAGATTGGTACTCATCCCCACATAGTACAACCAAGTGTTCTAATTATATACTTTTCAAGTCCCTCCTGTGTGTTGAAACTTTATCTCAGTTTAGGTATTGCCCCATATTTAAGAAATTGTTTAACAAAATTTAGATGCGGTAAATTTAAACTTAGTTCTGAGACCGGTAGATATAACAATGTCCCTTATTATTCAAGATTCTGTCCTTTTGCTACAAAAATAATCTTAATTTAATTGAAGATGAAATACATGTTTTACTTTTATTGTAAAGCCTACTTAGATATAAGGAATAAGTTTCTGGGTAAATATTTGAAACATCCTATTTCACAACACAGTTTTATAAACATAATGACTTCAACAAACATAAATGTTATAAATAATTTGTGCCTATTTCTGTATAATGTTGTAAAAAAAGAGATTCTGATGTTTTTATGAAAACCAGGGATAATCTACAACGTTATATAGTAAATCGCATGTAACTTCTTATCATATTTATGAATGTATTTTGGGCCAGTGGCCTATTACTGAATAAAATGTCTGTCTATAACGGTCGATTCTGGAACAATACTAGTTAACACATACAGAGGTTATACCTAAAGGTGACACTAAACCATGTAAATATATTGGTCTTAATAGCCAAACACATCTTCTGAAATGATGAAATGCCTGTTGGAAACAGGGAGACAAATATACTGAAACCATGACTCTGTTAATTATTCATACCATCATTCAAACTCTGAACACAACCGTCTGATTACATTTCTATAGCATTACTTTCACATCCAAACCATGTTCTTATTTAACTCCTGTACACGAAACACGTATTTAGCATAGGATACAATATGGCAAAATGTTTTTGAATGACTAACCCGGAATGCATTACCTACTCAGATTTGTATCTTACTTTGATCACATAGTTGAAGTCCGGCATCAGCGTTCGTCCATCCGGGGTTGCAACGTCCACCCGGACACGCTCCAGTTGAACTGTCACATCCCAACGTCTCACACCCAGGTGAACAGTCCTGTGCACAGTCAACACCATACATGCCGCTGCCACACCCTGTCATTGCAAACAAAAGAGAGAGAGAGGAAGAGGTAGTAATTTGCAATCGTCCTTTACATTGACAATGTCATTGAATTGCCAATGCTGTTTTGATTACATACATGAAATATCAGTCGCAACTAATTTCCGAGGACTCAGTATGCTATTCCCAATGCTGTCAACTATTTGTTGTTGATTGTGGGAAGTTTGTTTGTGTGAAATCTAAATGTGATTCCAGAATATGTTTTAACCGTTATTGTCTCAACCCTCCCTTTAATTGTTAATTAGAGCGAATTTAAGTGAGCGCTTTAAGAAACCTCTATCGGTGTGACGTTTTTAGCGGTTCAGTATTATTTCGCCATTGTGATTCTGGCTTGTGTACATGGAACGAATGCACAGCGCACGAACAAATCTTCGGAAACTTTAACCACGTTTACGTTCCGAAGTGTCAACTTGCATGAAAATGTAATGGAGAAAAAGTGGTTCGCACTATGCACGTGCAGTTCTGAGGGGTAGTGAGCAGGGACATTTCCTGTATAAAGCCGTTTTGCGTTAGAAGGTCATTTGCATTTATTGTTGAATGAAAGAATAGCGTTATGCCGCAACTCACTGCTGTAAATCGAACCTTTTCCATTGGATGTCTGGAAGCTGTAGAGTCTCAATCAGCCGTTTCGCGTCACCTCATTGTTCACCTGAGTACCATCTGTCGTTTATGGGACCGATATCAGTAAACCAATTCTACACATGATCGGCCTCGAAGTGGTAAACCTCGGATTACTACTACAGCACAGGATATGTACATCCGGGTACTTCATTTGCGGAATCGAACTGGTTTGAGGAGAGTGTCTGCGCTGACCATTTGTAATCGTAAATCGAAGCCAGAAGACCCTATTTTGGCCCTTTGCTGAGACGAATAACGGTCGATTATTGTTTAAAGTTATTGTTTTCAGGAATAGCGGGCCCCTTAGACAGTATTAAAAGTGGTTTCTTAATGGGCAAAGGCTGGAAGTTGTCTCATACTACAGGTACTTGGGTATTGTGTTCACTCCTAGGCTAGTTTGGACTAAAGCTCATACTACTCTTGCTTCTCAAGCCAATAAAGCCCTTATGGCTATCGTTAGATATAAAAATACAGTAGGTTATCTGTCATGTGCCGATCTTTTTAAAGTATTTGATGCTATGGTTAAACCTATTCTTTGTTACGGTTCAGAAATTTGGGGTGTTACCCATTGTAAAATCATTGAACAAATCCAGATAAAGACATGTAAATATTTCTTAAAAGTTGGTAAAATTACATGCAACAATATGGTTCTTGGTGAATGTGGCAGATTCCTCTTCAACTTACATATATGTCAAGAGCAGTTAAATATTGGTGTAGACTTTTAACTCTTCCAAGTTGTAGATTACCTCATCAGTTTTATTTAATGCTTAAGTCTTTGGGTGAATCTGGACGGACGACATGGGCATCTCATATCAAGAATATTTTATTTAGATCTGGGTTTGGCTTTGTTTGGATTTCACAGGATATTGGAGATATTGATGGTTTCATTTCTGTTTTAAGCAAAGATTGTGTTAATCTTCACAAGATTGGTACTCATCCCTACATAGTACAACCAAGTGTTCTAATTATATACTTTTCAAGTCCCTCCTGAGTGTTGAAACTTATCTCAGTTTAGGTATTGCCCCATATTTAAGAAATTGTTTAACAAAATTTAGATGCGGTAAATTTAAACTTAGTTCTGAGACCGGTAGATATAACAATGTCCCTTATTATTCAAGATTCTGTCCTTTTGCTACAAAAATAATCTTAATTTAATTGAAGATGAAATACATGTTTTACTTTATTGTAAAGCCTACTTAGATATAAGGAATAAGTTTCTGGGTAAATATTTGAAACATCCTATTTCACAACACAGTTTTATAAACATAATGACTTCAACAAACATAAATGTTATAAATAATTTGTGCCTATTTTTATATAATGTTGTAAAAAAGAGATTCTGATGTTTTTATGAAAACCAGGGATAATCTACAACGTTATATAGTAAATCGCATGTAACTTCTTATCATTTTTATGAATGTATTTTGGGCCAGTGGCCTATTACTGAATAAAATGTCTGTCTATAACGGTCGATTCTGGAATCTACCAAACTAGCGACGTGTATGGTTTAGTGACGAATCACGCCTTCTGCTTCAGTGCCGTGACGGATGGGTATGTGTCTATCATCGTCGAAACGAACATTTTGCGCAGACTTGTGTCGCCCAGGTTGACCGATATGGTGGTGGGGTGTCAGGAAAAGTAGAAAATTATATTTGACAATACAATGTTAAAATGGGCTAAAGATCGCCAACAACTGAAGGTAGATCACCATACTTGGGACAATGGGGCTTACAGTACCTTTGCTGCCTGCATGGACCCTAGCTGGATTTATTAATAATCCCTTCAGCCGCTGGCGATTGTAGGAAAGTTTAGCCGAATTTTAAAGGATAACAAATATACTTGTTTAAAAAATCGGGTAAGCAAACATTTAACTTTGAAAGTTTTGGGATTTACGTACCCTCTCAGGAGGACAATAATTTTTGTGTCAGTAAATAGGATGTTCACTGACATCTTAACAACCGCGCCTATTTGAAATACATTATGCCACCAATAGTCCAAGAATATGATTAATAACTCTCAATCGAACATCTGACTGGAACCTTATTCTGCAGGTAACCCGATTGGCGCTCCCATAGATCATGTAGGTCTGGACCTTTGTTTTATATGGGCAAATACACGGGTTTTACTTTAAAGATGACATAAAACCCGTATATAAATTGATCCAAATAGGCACACACACATCCTCGAAATGATGAAATGCCTATGGTAAACATGGAGACAGATATGCCCCAAACATTGCACTGCTTATGAATCATACCATCATTGAAATTCAGAACACAACCGTCTGGCTACATTTGTATAGTATTACTTTCACATCCAAACAGTAATCTTGTCTAACTGCTGTACACAAGAAAGGCAGGACACGCATTTAGTATAGAATACACGAACACAAAATGTTTATGGCAAAATGTCTTTGGTTAGTTTGTTGTTTAACGCCGTACTCAGCAATATTCCTGCTACATTGGCGGCATCTTAATCGGGCAGTTGGATCACAGAAGATCTCAACAGGTGTTCGCTCAAATGCTGTGCCCTACGTACCGGTACTGTGCAACACATGAAGATCAAAGAGCAGTGATAATTCAATAAAACTACTGCGACACACATCTTCTTTTTCACCACTCTGGATAGGCTATCAGAATCATGTCTCACACCAGACAACTGAAAATAAGACAACCGTTAGTTTTCCCCAAAAATACCGCATAGGTGAAAATTAGTGTTCGATTGTTTTAATTTTGCCATTATGATGCTGGTTTGTGTACATGTAACAAATGCAAAAAACGCATATTTAAACGGAACCTTTAATGTACGTTTCCGTTTGAAAGTGTCACCTTGCATGCATGAAAATGTCATGAGGAAAAATTGGTTCGCTGTATGCACGTGCAGTTCTGAGGAATCGTGAGCAGGGACATTGTCTATATTAGGCCGTTTGTTTTTAGACGGTCATTTCCATTTTTAGCCACAATATCGATATGCCGCGACCTACTGGTGCAAATCGACACAGACATTCCATGTCTTCAGTTGGTTGGTTGGTTGGTTGTTAAACGCCACACTCAGGAATATTCCAGGTATATGACGGCTGTCTGTAAGTAATGGAGTCTGGACCAGACACTCTAGTAATCAACAGTATGAGCATTGATCTAGTCAACTGGGATACGATGACATGTGCCAACCAAGTCAGCGAGTCTGACGACCCGATCCCGTTAGTTGCCTTTTACGACAAGCATGTCTTGAGGCTGGGGAATCTCGATCTGCCGTTGAACGTCACCTCAATGCTCAACAGTGTACCATCAGTCGTTTATGTGGATCGATCAACAAACCAATTCTAAACAAGATCGGCCTCCAAGTGGTAGATCTCTGATTACCACTGCAGCGCAGGATAAGTACATCCGGGTACTTCATTTGCAGAATCGAACTGTCACAGCAACTGCATCTGAGGAGAGGTTGAGGTGAGTTTCGGCGCAAACCATTTGCAATCATTTACGAGAAGCCAGAAGACCGTATTTGGGCCCTGTACTGTGATGAATAACGTTCGATTCTGAAAATGTAGAAAGAATCGTGACGCGTATGGTTCAGCGACGAATCACGCTTTCTGCTTCAGTGACGTGACGGATGAGTATGTGTCTATCAACGTCGAAATGAACATTTTGCCAAGAATTGTGTCGCCCAGGTTGACTGATATGGTGGTGGGGTGTCAGGATGTGGGGAGCCATATCCTACCCGCAGAAATATAACTTTGTGCACCTTCAGGGCAATGTAAGTGCTATTCACTAGAGAGGCACAATCTTCAGGATTCACAGGGTTCCGATCGTTGACCGCCAGAGGGAGTTGTTTCAGCAAGATAATGCCAATATTCAGTATCTTCAGAAGGGGAACATTACAGTCTTTCAGTTACGGCCAAGCTCAGTGAGCAAGCGATTCTGCATTAGTGTAGTGGAACCTGTATATAGGCTGCGCCCCATTCACGCACTAAATTAACGTTTGGCACCATGAATTTTATTTGCTAACAGCTACAATCATTTATTGGTCACAGATATAAAAATTAAATACCCAGAACTCCTGAGTTGTTCCTTGTGCCAAATCGCGAGTCCTTAAGAATGAAATCTTAAGACAGCATAATCAATTTTAAACTGCCTAGTGATACCTCGACCTTTGATTTAACAAAATGCGCTCTGATATTTCGAACAATACTGGCTTTTGACCTAATAAATAGCATCTCAATTCACCTCACATTCATAGTGTAATAAGAATTGTATAAAATTTTATAAAATTCAATAAAAAGTCGAGTCTGCGAATCATAAAATAATTGAATAATATTCACTGACCACTAAGGTCAACCTAAAGATCATACACCTCGATCCGAAGGGAACTCATCTAAAAGTGGAATGGGGCTTATGGGTTCAAAACTCACTGTCCACATCGACTAGGTCACACAAAGGTCACGCACGCAAATGGCTGATTTGAGCCTCAAACACACACACACACACACACACACACACACACACACACACACACACACACACACACACACACACACACACACACACACACACACACACACACACCCCCTGTCTACAACCTCTGACACGCACGTGTGGCACATCTGGCTCCAGTCCACCCAGCTGTACATGTACACTTCCCGGTGTCATGCTCACAAGTCCGCGGCTTACACCCTGTTCTACACTTTACACAGTGTCCCCCGTCCATGTAATAGTCGCCCCCGCATTCTGGAACGAGAACATTGCATACACATGTGCCTTGAATTAACATAATGTTCTTGGACATGAAACACGAAGAGGTTTTGGTTTGGTTTCGTAGACCAGATATGCCTGAACCTGTCATGAATTAATACTGTCATATGATTAGATATATCTATAAATTGCATTTTGCTGAGTCATCAATAAAACTACGGTGGGTGATGTCTGTGAACTAGAACTGGCTCTTATTATCCAGTAACATGACGTGTTAGATAATAGTTGAGAACACTTTTGTGGCAAGAAAACACGAAAACAACAAACAAATGAAGGTTCAAAGGCTGTTCTTACCGTTGCAGTGAGTTCCCGTCCAGCCGGTTTTACATGTACAGTGACCGTGAGTCTTGTCACACCATCTGTTGTTACACCCAGCTCCACACGGGCGACAGACTTGTCCGTAAAAGCCGTTTCTGCATTCTGGATATTAACATGTTAAGTTTAATGTTGACTCCAAACAAACTGATATAGATTCAAAACCACATACTCATCAAATAGTCGGAGTCGAAATTGCAGAGCCGATTATTTGGGTTCTCTCAAAAGGTTTTGACGTTTTTATATAATAATTATTGAGAAAGGAGATGTCATTGATAAAACATTATGAGTTTTGTATGTTATGTTACTTTTCTTTACCGTGGGTAATAAAGTACAACTTTCTAAGGCATCTCTCAAATATGATATCAGTGTCCGAATACCCTCATATCTATGGTTGAACAAGCAGATATTCCCAGGGCAGCCACCAGAACAAATGTTGACACAATAGATCTCCCCACACCAAACTGAGGGCAGGGGACCATGACTGCTGTAGCAGTATGTAAGTATCATTCAAAGTGGATCGAATATTTCATATCAACGGAAGAGTTTCAAACAAAACATTGCTTTTGAGGATAGCATACACTCGTTACGTCCTTCGCCACAATACCCAATGATTTGTGTTTGCTAACAGCTGGTTGTTTTCAACGTCATAATGTTTAAATAATGGCCATACAGTTCAAATCCTTCAAGAACAATAATGAGACCAACACACCGTCTACACCCAGATGCTACATCGGTACAGTCCGCGTTATGTCTATCTTTATGATTGGTACAGAAGCGTTATGTCTATCTTTATGATTGGTACAGTCCGTGTTATGTCTATATTTATGATTGGTACAGTCCGCGTTATGTCTATCTTTATGATTGGTACAGTCCTTTTAATGTACATCTCTATGAAAGACACAATCCTTCTGGTCGTATGAGGAGACAAAAGACGTTTGTCTGTAAATTTCCAAGCTTGAGCAATTAAACCGCAATTAGAGAGTAAGATGATATTATGGTTTAGTCTTTATTCGCCTACATCTCACTTCGCCTACATCCCATTTCGCATACAAAATAATGTAGGCTAATTGGGATTAGAAATTGCACCCCTAGTCTTATAATGAACCTAGGCGAATTGGGATGTAGGCGAAATATAACATGCCGATATCATGACTGTCGATCAAACATATCGTTATTCTAATTGCCTAAATGCAGTTTTAAATCGAACTCGGGTCTTTGATAACGAAACTTCTAACTAGAAGGTACCCCACTGCCCATTTAAAATAATAAACATATGAGATATAGTTCTCATTAATGAAATAATTATTTCCGGTAATCATAATCAACTTACACCGGTTTTACCTAAAGATGACACAAAAACCCTGTATGAATTGGCCTTAATAGCCACACACATCTCCCGGAAATGATGAAATGCCTGTGGTAAACAGGGAGACAAATATGCTAAAAAACATTCCGTCTGGCTATGTTTATAGAGAACTTCAAAGAAAATATGGTATCTCGAAGTCCCTTATATCCTGTATCTGGAAAGGCAGTCAGTTGGCCGATGACCGCACGGGCGGTAGTGTGACAGTAGGTCCCGATCCTTGATAAAGAAGGAAGAATCCAGATCTGACCATAGATAGTTGAGGAGATAGTCGACACCGAGGAGGAGATGGCAACAGACTCACAGAAGGAGAGCTTGAATATTGACGAATAGTTGGTTGTTGAACATTCTTCAGAGCGAAATCCAACAAGGGAAGGACGACTGAGTGTCTCCGAAGTCTTGAGGGTTTTTGTATCTTGTTTAGCACTGCTCTCAGAAATATTCCAGTTATATGCGGCAATTAGGATATGATGCCATGTGTGAAGCCTGACCAACCGATCCTGTTAGCCACCTCTTACGACAAGCATGGGTTGCTGAAGAACTCGGATCTTCCCTGGGCCTTGGGAGGCTGGAAGGACTGTAGATGGTTAAAGGAGGAGGAATGAATGGCCGAGAATGCGTAGCAACAACGAGTATTTGGTTCGGCTGATCTTTAGAGACACGAGGCGTCAAAACAAGCGTCGTAAGTTGTCGCTAAGGTACAAGTCCGAAGGAGCGTTTAGTAAACCGTCAAGCCTCCGTTGCAGATCGCTTCGAATTCTTCGGATTTATGTTTAGAGTCGCTGTCCTTGTCCTCCTGGATGCAACTTTCCTAATGACGGCAACAGTATCGTCCGCTAAATCTGTTTGGTTGTTTACACCTATCACTATCTCCGCTGTAATGACTTCATAATGACAACCACTTGACGTAACATTCTAGTGGACAAATCTACCCATTTAACATAATCATAAACACATATAACTAACGCCAATAGAAACACTGTCATTTGATAAAGATACAATATACTCAACTGATCTCAAAATACAGCCGTCTGAAAATACAAAACGGTCTCCACAAAGGGTTGGTCACACAGATATCTACATGCAATAGTTATCTTATCAGATTGACATAAATGTCGTCTCAGTTGTAACTGTGATTACTTACTGTCACAGCTGTCAAGACACGGTAGGTGGTGAGGGACATTCAATATCATGGATAGTGCCATTAGCATACATTTAAGAGGAACATTTGGGACAATACCGATTGTTGTACCTAGTAATTAAACTGCAAATAATACCTCCCTGGTCTAATAAGGACTTCAATACACAAACGGAAAAAGTAATTGTGCATAACATGAAATTGCATACAATGGTGGTTTATTTCAGAAAAGTAATATAGGCCATAGGCCCAGGTTACACTTTGAGAATTACAGAGTGCGAAAATATGTTATAATGAGGACTGTCTCAGTAACATAGCTTGATATACATATGCCGATAAATGTTTTAAGATGCTTGCATTTGATGATTGCAGAAGCGTATTAAATTTTTGGATTGTTGGATATTCATAAAAGTGTAAAGGTATATACAGTCGCCGCAATACTTGATATTTATTACAAATAAGTAAGAAGTGATATTCATCTTCTATATATGGCAATTTACAGATATTACATAATCTGTCATTTCTAGCCTCACCAATATACCTGCCAGTTTCTGAGACCCTGATCTCAACTGAGCAAGCGCACGTCTATGTTTAAAATAGCTAACTATGAAGATATAAGATTCAACACCGAACATAGGTTTAAACAACGGGTATCCAAATGTTTTTGTGCCTTTTATTAGTGCAGAATGCCAGTCCTGTTGATACGAAACTTTGAGTCTACCAAGAAATTCATTTAAAAATAGCGTTTCACTTCGAACCATCTGTTCTTGCCAAACAAATCCAAATCCATAGACTTCTAATATATGCTTTATCCTAGATGCCCAGCTCCTGCAACCATTACTTTCCATTTGTACAAGCATGTTATAACATTTCTTTACATATCGCTCATTTGACATTTTCAATATTTTACACCAATATTTGATAGACCTGTTGATGGTATAAATATACAATGGATATCTTCCACATTCGCCTCGCACAACATGCGCTGAAACAGAGGATTTAATTCCTAGAAATCGTTTACAAGCTGCTACATGTATAACTTCTATTTCGTTAACAACATTCAGTCCCCACCGTATAATAAAATTGGACAAACTTTGGTGTCGAAAATCTTAAAGAACAAGTGAAAAGGTAATGGCTTAAACATTGACAGTGATCTAAAAATACCAAATAAAACTTGCTTAGCCTGCAGACATACATTTTCTATGTGTTTGGTCCATACTAATGACCTACTGAATAAAATACCTAGATATTTGTACCAGGAAACACATTCTATTTGTACACCATTATAGAACCATTTTTCATACTTCGACAGTCTTCCACCTTTCTTAAAGACTATTACCTTTGTTTTTTCCATATTTACCGTCAAACAATTCTCAGAACAAAATATCTTTAGGACATCAAGTCTTTTCTGTAAACCAAACACTGTATCAGAGATAAACACAACATCATCAGCAAATAAAAGAAGAAATAACTGTACAAGTTCAGGATGAAGCTGAATTCCTGGTACGCAACATGCTTCGATTTCATAAGCTAGTTCATTGATAAGAATGGAAAAAAGAAGAGGGCTTAGGATACACCCTTGTCGTAGACCCAATGGACAATCAAAACATGTTGATAAATTATTATTAAATTTGACACACGCTTTAACACTTGCATAGAGGGCTTGGATTGATTTAAGGATTTTTCTGCTTACTCCTCTTAGCCTTAAAATATTCCACAGGTTTGTCCTTTTCACGAAGTTGAAGGCTTTGGAAAAGTCTATGAAACATGCATACACTTTGGCTCTCTTTTGAGAGGTAGCGTTCAATAATGGACTGTAGGATAAAAATGTTATCAATAGTACTGTAACCTTTGCGAAAACCCGCTTGCGATTCAACGATTTTTTCAAAGCAAGAGCACCAAAATGTTAGCCTATTATTCAGAATATGTATGTACAGCTTGCTGAAGATACTTGTAATTGATATACCTCTGTAATTGCTAACTACACTAGTGTCCCCTTTTTATGTATATAGGTACAATAAGACCCATACACCACGATTCTGGAAAATACGCTCGATCAAACAGAACATTGAATAGCAACTGAATATAGGGAACTAAAATATCCTGTGAGGACTTTAAAAATTCTGCTATAATATGATCAGGCCCAGCACTCTTGGATGATTTTAGTTCTGTAATCGCTGCACAGATCTCATCTCTTGTAATAGGAGCGTCAAGTATTCTAGGGCTGTCTTGATCTGTCTTCTCTTCAATATCATGATCGATAGAATGTAAATCGACATTAAATGTATCCGTATGTTGAAATATGTTTTTTGAAATGTGTATACCACGAGTCCATTGTTATGTTGGGAATAGAATTATTAGATGAAGAAAGCCTGCACATGGTGTTCCAGAACAATTTTAATTATTCAGATTTGTAAGTAATTTATCTTTTACAGATCCGTAGTAATTTCTTTTTTTAGATCTTAAAGTACAATTGTTTCTGGCGTGTACATACTTTCGTAGCGATGCTCGATCGTTAAAATGCCTAAAACACCCCTGGAAGTCTGTCTTTCTCATGTCTTAGAAATGTGCACTCTTTATCAAACCAAGGTTGTGAATTTCT